CTCCAACTACAAATGTTGTCCTTCAGCATCAGAGTGGGAAAAAATTGGTGAATATATGCAAGTTTTTAGCACCCTTTTATGAAATCACTTGTCTCTTCCCTGGATTTAAGTATCCTATTGCAAATCTTTATTTTCCTTGTGTCTCTACTGCATATGCCACATTTAAGAATGAAATGTCTTCTGGCCTGGAGTATATAAGAAGTAGGACAATTGGAATGCTTGCGAAATTTGAAAAGTACTGGTCAGACTTCAGTGTACTCTTAGCAATAGTTATAATTCTTGACCCTAGATATAAATTTAACTTTGTTGAATGGTGTTACAAGAAATTGTATACTGGTACTTACATGATTGAGCTTGAAAAAGTGAACGAGAAGTTGCAATCCCTAATTGCAAACTACTCAACAACAACTGAGCAAACCTCAACTTCTGAATCTCAAACATCCCAATCTTCATAAAGGACTCCTTCAACTACTCAATCAATAACAATTATTAAATCACAATTCCTTCAGGTTATACTTTGCCAATTTGTATTTTATAATTCCTTCAGGTTATACTTTGCCATGTACTCTCTTTTAATTATAAAATACATGATCATTTACACAGGATTATGAAAATTTTGAAGTAGAAGTAACAATGCCAAGAAATAGAAAGTTAAAACTTGAAGTATACTTGGACGAACCCAAGTTGGATAGGAATAGCGAGTTGAATAATTTACAATTTTGGAAACTTAACCAGTACAGATTTCCTCAGGTCTCAAGCATGGCCCATGATGTATTATGCATTCCAATCTCTACTGTGGCATCCGAAAGTGTTTTTAGCAATAGTGGTAGAGTTCTCGACCAATATTGAAGTGCTTTGAAACATGATATTGTGGAAGCATTGGTATGCACTAGAAATGGATTAGAATGATTCAATGCTGAAGATAGAACATTTGCTGCAATAACAGAGCTCGAACTAGCCTTCTTCCCATGGACAATCTCATTTCTATTTTTCCAACACAAATACACCACAGTGCAATAAAGTTTGACCATATTAGGAGCAAAAACAGTAAAAGTTTTAAGCTCTCCAAACATTCTTCCAAAGAGTAAAATGTAGGAATATAAAATCCCCACTCTTGAATTTTTTGAAAGACCTCCAGCAGATACTTACACCGAACAATAATATGCTCAAAGCTTTCCACCTCTTGACAGCCTCTTGCACATAAATCATGATTTTTAAGCTTCTTATAATTCAAAAATTCATTAGTAGGAATTGCAAATTTGCTCATTCTCCACCAAAATAGCTCCACCCGAGAGCTTAATTTCAGCTTCTTTAACCATTTTGAGAATCCAAAATCTTCCTCCTTAATATCACGGTATATGTAGGATTCATATGCTCTAACACTAATAGTTCTTCCTGAAAGATGGCAAATCTCCTCCAAATAATCATCTTCAGCATTGTTATAAATCGAAACTTGCAGTATTAAAGAGATGAGATTCTCATGGAAGAAACGTTGCAACTCCTCCACCTTCCATCTTCCATTTAAATTAATGAAATGATTGAGCATTACGTCTTCCAATCCTAAGCAATCAGCAGTTGTTGGACAAACATCAAGGCATTTGTCTAACAACCAAATGTCTTTTAGAACATTTATCTTCCTTCCATTAACCATTCTCCACCTTAATAAAGGTTTTAAGTATCCAGCACCTTCTATTAAAATTTTTCAAGCAATTGAGGATCCTTTTCGGTAATCAGCATTGAACATATTGTCACCATATTTAGCAATAATGTTTCGATGAAGCAACAAATATGGATTTTGGATCAGCCGCCATGACAACTTGATCTAAGAGTTCCATCTCTACTAGCAGCTGAATGAAAATTCAGCCCACCAGCTACTTTTGGCTTACAAAGTTCTTCCTAAGATATGTAATGCATTCCTCTTTTACCATTTCTCTTATGCCAAATGAACTCTCTACAACATTTGTCAACTTCATGAAACTCTTTCTTTGGAACCAAAGTATGTGTATATATGAAACTTGGAAGAGATAGAAGCAAAGATTTGGCAAGAATAATCTTACCAGCCGTAGAAAGACATTTGCTCCCCCAAGCATTCAGCTTTTGTAGAATATTATCTAGTAAATAATGAAAATTAGATTTCATCGGTCTTGTCAACATCATTTTAATGCCCAAGTAAAGCATCTCCTTCATGATTTTGAACTACAGAATCTATTTAACCTGTTGTTTGTTGGATCTGCTAGCTGCCATGCTGAAAAGGATTTGTGATTTTAAATTATTCACCTTTAGCCCCATCTAGGAGCAGAAATCTGATACAATATTCTTCAATATATGGAAATATTGTTCCAACATACTTGAGTAGTGTGCTTGTCATTCCCTACTCTTCTCATACAATTCAACCATCCCCCTCTATCTACTTCCTCAATTCATCCACCTACACAACTAAAGATTTAGGACTTCTAGAACTCCTACTACTACTACTATTGCTAGGCCTACTAGTCAAATAAGTTTCACTAAGGCCACACTTATATACACCAAATCTTTTAAAGATCTCATTTTTTTTAAGTGAGGGATAAAATAGGCAAAATTTTCTCTTCATCAGGATCTCCCTTGACACTAATATTTATACATAAAGCATAAATAAGAGAAGGATGCCCCAAGCCCATAGAAGTAAAGCATCTAATAATGTAAGTCAAGAAAGAATGAATAAGCATTCCCACATCAATGGTATACCCAACATAAATAACATAATTAAGAACAACATGGTCCTTAGTTACCACACTAATGTTTTTGCTAGACAAAAGTCTAGCAAAAATAAAGTAATGCGAGGCCTTTGAAAATTGGGTTAAACAAGATAAATGAAAACTAATTAATTTTTTCTCCCTCCTCTTCCACACTGCCTCACTATTGTGCTTACATAACACTCTCAAAAATTTTTCATAATCAAAGGCATAAGAAAAAGAGGCATGCTCATCAAACTAAAAAATTGAATGTTTAAAAAGATGGTTGATGGTTATAAGATCGAAGTGTCACTTACCTCGCACATAACACTTATAGTCCATAACCTCTTTACAATTGGCAAAATATCACCTAACTACATTGACAACTGTTGCATAGGATTCCTCAATAAATTGTCCTAACTCTTGTTTATAATCACTTGTATTAATTTCCCTCCTTGGTTTTGGAAGTCTCTCTCAGGGATCAACTACATGGATACCACTATCATCCCATACTCATGCTCAGCCTCAATAGAAATGAATATGCTTTTATAATAGGATGGTGAAGATCAAATTTTGCCAAACATTTTTTGTGCCATTTCTTATAAAGCTCAAATAAATAAAATATAGAAAACTTGGAGAGAATGAATGAAAGAAATAATGCAATTAAAAAAAATTAAATAGGTACTAAACATATATATACACACATCATGAGCATGAAGGTGCTCAAGAGAGGAGTGTTACATACTTAAAAATATAAAAAATGATAAAGAGCCAAACAAATAGACATTGTAGTAGTACAGGACACACGGTGCTGCAACACAGGCGTCAAAAATGAAGCACCAATTTTTTTATTAGAAAAATGCGGTGGTGCTACACACACGAGCGATGTGATGCTTAAAAAAACTACCACCATAGTGCATTAGTTGTCATAATAATGATTTTGACCTAACATTGAAATGATAAAAATAGTTTTTTAGTGCTCAATAAAGTGTCATAATGTTAAAGATATGAAAGTATGACATATTGACTATACTACTATAAGCACTATAGAGATAATAAACCAATGCTGCAGCGCTTAAGAGAGAAGTGCCAAGGAGCTCAGTAAGGCAACATAGCATTGTGGCTTTTAATAATACAACACTACCATGGTGCAATTTTTAAACTTTTCATATGAATTCAGTACTATAATGTTATTTTTGAATGCTGTGGTGCTTGGCTTACAAATGCTGCAATGCTTCAAATAAAAACATTGTGGCATTACTTCAATTTTTAATACAATATTTTTTTTGGAAGAAGCTTTTCATAACTTAGTCAAAATTAATATTAATAACTCTCAAAAACAGTACCACACACACATAACATAAATTAAAAAACATAACATAAAAACATAAATTATAAAATAAAATATAAAAACACATAATAAGATTGGGTTCCTCCCAATAAAATGCTAAATTTATAGTCATCAGCCAAATTTTCTTATATATGTCACTTTGGTTGTAATGAATAATAAACACTTCTCAAGTGGTCTCCACCATGCTCTTTTTTTTCTCCTTTGGAATAATTTCAATATTATTTGGTAAAATTTCATGAGGTCTACTATCAAAAAAAGGTTGCAAACTATCCTAATTGATTTTTTAAATTTTTAATTGAACTAGCCTAACTTTGCAATTGGGTTCCCAACTAAATCTCAATTTCTTCCAAAGGTGATTTCCTCTCTCTTAATTGATTATTATGGTTAAAACCTTGGGGATACAAAGGTATAAGATTTAGTATAGATTGCCAAGGATTATTTTAATTTTCTACTTTATTAGATTAGCTTGTGTTCCATTGATTGTTACCACTAATAATATTATATAATCAGCTAAAATTAGGGTGGATCCTCCAACCAAGATTATATGTATTAAAATAGAGATTTTTTTTCCAATCAAATTCATATTCTCAATTCATAGTGCATTAATATCATCAATAAAATTTGAATCATGTTCTTTCAATTGCATAGATGATCCTGCTTATAAACTAATTCTAATGGCATCTAACTTTTTTGAAGTTATAGTTACATATGTAGTTAAAATAGATAATACATTTGATTCATACACACCTGCTACTCTCTTAGGATTCACCCTATGAGAAGGATGCTAAAAATTATTTTTAGTAATTTTCTCAATTAATTTATAGGCTTTCTAAGATAGCTTAGACATTAAAGATCCTCCAGCTTTTGCATCTATGATAGACCTAAAGGATCCTACAAATCCATTATAAAAAAAATTGAAAATCAACCAATCAAGTAAAGTATGATGAGGACATTTCTTAAATATTTCTTTAAATCTCTCACAACTTTCATAAACTGACTTTCCCTCAAACTGAACAAAAGATGTGATATCATTCCTAAGTTTGGCAATTTTAGAAGATGAGAAATACTTAGGTAATAATTTATGTGCCAACTCATTCAAAGTGGTTATAGAGCCTAGGGGAAATAAATTCAACCACATTTTAGCTTTACCCTTGGAGAAAATATGAACAATCTAAGTCTAATAGCATCATGACTAATACCATTATACTTAAATGATGCATATCTTTCTAAGAAGCTAGCTAAATGTAGGTTGAGACCATCAATAGGAGCTCCCCCAAACTAAAAAATTTGAATTATATATGTTATGATATGTTTCAGTTCAACATTATTGGCATGGATAGTAGGTTTATTGATACTCTAATGAATTCTTTCTACTGCATGGTTCAATCATCTCTTAAAATTTTTTAATTTTTGAAATTTTTATAAGGTTATGTTCTATCTTAGAATCAAATAACAAGGGCTCCTTACTAGATCTACTAATTATGCAATAGTGATGAAATAAAATAAAAATTATAAACTAAACATTCAAAAAACAATTTTTTTTTACTTTTTTTTTTTAAATTATAATAGACATAGAAAAAAATAAAGATTCATGATATAAGTAGGGCTATATATACACTTATTTCAATAATATAGTTTAAAATTATAATACGCATGTTACTTCCCTCGTAATGACTCCAAAAACTTGATTAATTATGGGTTGGACTATGCGGCCAATGGTGTGAGCTACATACATAGCTAGTGTACAATATGAATAAGCTTAATTTTTTTAGTAAAAAAATAATGAAGTTCCACTAAATATGTAAGTATACTTTCCAATCAAGTAAGAAAGTGATAGAGAAGAGTATCGATTCCATAAGAAAGTGTTCTGCTTAATTACAATTAAGCTATTATTATTTATTTTAAATGCATAATTTATGCTATTGAATATAACATAGATATTTTTGAGTTTTTTTTCCCACTTAGTGGAGACTTGCAAGAAAATTGGATTCTAATGTAAATAAAGTATTTTGAACTAATGAATGCAAAATAAAATAGTTTCCTAAAAGAATTTTAATTTAGATGTGGATCAGAGAATATGCATTCATAGATATATGTCAAAATTATAGAGATGAAAAGGGAGGTTTATGGCCTTCCTCTAATTATAATATCTCAATAGAAGCTAGAAGGTTTAACACCATATGTCTATGTATAACAATATTCTATTTCAATACTTCTATTTATTCCAATATTATTTCATCGAGATAATGCATCACACTAGATAGTAACTACACACATGGATATTATATGCATTAAATTAAAAATGAGTGATATTGAAAACATCTATAAAATAATTCTAATCATAAGAGTCTACATTAATACTTGATATGCATTTACATTATTAGCCTGAAACTTAGAGATTCTGACATACATGAATAATACCAAAAGCAAACTCATGTTCACTTCATTCATATAAGAAAAAAAATACATGAGAATTAATAAGATAAATGTTACCCGAAAGGATCAATTAATATTATCCACACACATTCTTCCTCCAACAATAACATTACTTATATAATATAGGCTAATATCTCCAAATGAAAATATCTTACATTTTTTTTGCCTCCCTTAGACTTTACTTCAAAGGAGAACAAAAGGAATACACTTAAAAGTACAAGACAAAACTAAAAAATAATAGAACTCACTAATAAAATAATCGAAAACTATTTATACAAGTATAGAAATAATCTCAGGAACCGCAGTGCATAGAGTATGCGTATTGCAGCGTTGTTAAATAAATTAGCACCCCGGTGTTATAAAACTTGCTCTTCTGCAGAGCTGTACTAACCATGCATGGTTAATGGTTGAACTATCATGTATTTTGGCTAAGTTAGCATTGCTTTTAATTTTGGCAATAGCACTATCTCAATGGTGAAAATGTTCAGCATTAAGACACTTGAAAGTGTAATATAACACTATGGTATTGTGATGATCAGCACTCTGACATTCATTTTCCTGAGGCTCCAGTACTGCGGTGTTGATTTCTAGCGTGGCATTGCTAACCTTATCTCTTTCACAACGTTAATTTTTCCTTAAATTCATGAGAGGTCGGTGCTAAGGTGTTGTAGATAATAATGCTATGGTGCTAGATCTATGGGCATTATAATGCTCATTTAATTCTGATGAATATTTCCTATATAATAACAACTAAAATAATATATTTTCACTAAATTTTAATATAAAACATGATAAAAAATTTATGCTTAATAATTAATTACTATTTAATATTTCACTTTGGATATTGATATTTATGATGAGTTATGAAAGGAAGTCTACTAAGCTAGTGGTGCTTATCCTATGATGCTTTCTAACATTTCAGGAAAAGGAAAAGGGCCAATGGAATAGAAAGGTATAAAGGACTAACCTTTTGAACCTATTTGATTGAGGTATTATTTTGTAATCCATTTTAAAATCATTTTAATGTATTGATGAGTAAAGTTAACTAGGTATTTTACATATACATTTCAATAAAATGAAGTCTGATGAGTTTCTTTAATTATATGGATTTTATAATATCTTTAATTATTTCTATTTGTGGTTAAGAAATTAAATTATAGGTTTAGGGTTTCAATCATTCCATTAGATTTTAGGGAGTCACAATTGATCAGGTTAGGCTCTAGGTCTAGGCATGTTCAATATGTACATGTATTATTTTGTCAATCATGAGTACATTTATATTTCGATGAAATAAAATTGAATTATGATTGATACACATTATTCTTTTGAAATAACAGTTGATGAATTAAGACTTATTTTTTTCATTTCTATGTATATTGAATGATTATAAAATGATTATGTGTTGTGTATTGAGAAAAGTGTGATGTAGGAAAATAATTCTTCTAATCAGGTTTTGGGAAGTGGTAAGTCCACTGTCATGACTTTTACACGTTACAAATTATTCAGTTGTAGCAGGTTATGATAATCTATAACTCCAATAAATGGTTACATATATCCGCTTCAAACCCCTTATATATAAAATATCTCAAATACTTATTGGGGGGGGGGGGGGGGGGGGGCTCTTTCTTTTACTGGTAGACTTTTATTTGTGATATTTAGCACTTGGGCTATGCTTATATATAGGAACAGAGGGGTAGTTATACCAAAGTCCTTTTATAAATTCTGAAATAGAACATGTGCTAGATTTTTATGTCATGGGGTCATTAATGCTAGAAAATTACACCTTATCTTCATGGAAAAGCACTTATAAACATAGGTATTTAGGTGGTATGGCATTCCTGTATACTTAAATTCATGCTTATAATTACTCTCTTAGCTAGCATAAAATATCTTTTGATGGTCTTTTTTGCTTGCTAGTGGAAGAATAGTCCTTCAAGAAATTAGATGTTCCATTGCTTCAAGAACTTAAAATTGGTTGCTGAGTCTATTAAAGGAAACATCTCTTTATATATCTCCAATTATAATAATCATTCACTATTCTAGGGCTCGTGGTGCAATGAAAAAATTTTATATGAGATTTTATATATTACCTATATACCCCCTTTTTTCCACTAATTCCTTGCTCTATATGACATCATACTAAATCACAGCCAGTGTAACACTCCACAATACCTCTTAACAATACTGTAGAATGAACATACATTACATAACATTTTTCCTCTCTTTTTAAATTTAATATAATTTCTCACATTTGATTCCATATAAAACATCCAACCATATTTCATTTGATACATCAACATAAGTAACTAATAAATTAAAACTTCAATAAAAAAACTTAGAAACCCACTAAGGAAATCCAAATAAAACCCATTTCTTAAATATTTTCATACCTCACTAGTGGACTCACTAACAAAGATAACTTTAACATGAAAAGAAGAATTAACATGCATCTATTAATATGCAACAATCTTCTCCTTTCCTTTTTCTATAACAATAACTAGTAATTTTTTTTTTTTGGTGAGCTATGAGACTTAGTAAATTATGGCAAAGTAAATAATAATTATAATATAATATTATAAAGAAATGGAATATTAAGCAAATCATTGAATTAACTTACTATCATTTGGAAAACATTATAAAAGCATACCAGACATCATCTTTTATTTTATTTAAAGTTGATACTGATTTATTTTAGTCTTTTAAAAGATATGGCTATACTTTCATAAATATATTCAATGGAGCCCAAGTAGCCCAACATTATAGCCATTAAAAAATATAGAGGTCCATTTTACCTCTTTAGGGATTCCTTTTACCCCACCTATTATATAAGTATCAAATTTTATAGGGTCCCTTTTTCCCCATCCACAATATAGGTTTTATATTTGGGTCCTTTTTGCCCACCTGATATTCCAGATATGATAACATTAAATAACCAATATTTACTAATTGAATATTCATTAATTCTCATGATCCATAATTCATATTTTTACATTTATATGGTTATACAAGTGTTGCAAGAAGAACTTAATATGCATTACCTAAATAATAGAACTTCTTTAACATATTACTAAAAATATTGAAACAAACATGCTTGTTCACATAAAATGGAATTTCTTATACATAAGGACTTCAATGAATCCTTATGGTGATGCATAAAACCTTCATAATGTACCTGAACCCAATCATTCTTAGAGTAGATCAATATGTCATCAATAAACATAATTACAAATTGATTCAAATAAGGTCTGAAAATTTTCTACATCATATCCATGAACACTGTAGGGACATTGGTAAGACTGAATGACATAACAAAAAATTCATAATGCCCATATATGGTACCAAAAGCAGTCTTCTTAATATCACATTATTTCACCCTAACCTGATGATAACCATATCTTAAGTCAATCCTAAAAATACATAAACATTTGCTAACTAATCAAATAGATGGTCAATTCTTGGAAGATGGTACTTATTTTTATTTTAACTTTATTTAATTCTCTGTAATATATAGATTGTCTCATAAATTCATCCTTCTTTTTAACAAATAGCACTGGTGCACTCTAAGGAGATGAACTGAGTCAAATAAAAATCTTTTCAACCAATTCAGCTAACAAACTTTTTCAACTCTTGTAATTCCTTGGTTGCCATTTTGTAAGGTGATTTCACAATGGGATTTGTTCCAGGTTAAAGATTTACAGAAAATTTCACCTCTCTTTCTGGAGGTAAATCCTTCTATTCCTCTGAGAATACATCTACAAATTCATTGACTACAGAAATAGAATTTATATCATCACCTTTCTCTTTAGTTGCTTTTAACTTTGCTAAGAAAGCCAAATAACCCACTTTTAGACTTTTATATACCTGACTAGAAGTAATCGATGAGGAAACTACTCCTCTTTCACGGTAAAAGTAAAATACTTCTTCCCCATGCAATTCAAACTTGACCTTTTTCTTCCAATATTCTATGGTGGCAAAATATTAACCAACCAATCCATTCCCAAAATTACTTCAAAATCCACCAATGGAAGTACTATTAAATCTACTTGAAACATTCTACCAGCTATCATAAAATTAATTAAACATAATACATTGACATTTAAATAATTACCCGCATGTAATCTAAAACTCAACCCATGAGTAAAATTGATAGGTTTCATAAGTAAATTTTGATAAAATATCTCATATACGAAAGAATGTGAAGCACCAAAATAAAAGAAACACTCTAGTAGGTAAATTAGAGATGATTAAAGTACTTGTCACCATCTCAGACGATTCTTTGGCCTCTTGAAAAGTTAAGGTAAATACTATAGCTAGTGGTGATCTAACTACTTCACTCGAGGCTTCTCCTTTTATCTTCAAAGCAGGTTGATTGAATTATTTCCTTGTACCTCAATATTGATATATCCTCTAATTACCTTTGAATTATTTTCCCCCTTGAACATTCTTGGGACATTTTCTCTTAATATATCCTGATTCCCCACACAAATAATATTTCCTTGAGGTCATCAAACATTTTTATGGATGTGGTTTTCCACAATTTGCACAAATTGGTATTATAAGAAATTTCATAAATTGCTGTTGTTGACTCTATTGGAATTTCTTCCTTTTTGATGATCCTTCCCTGTGATCACCTTATCTCTTTCTATCATTATTATCCTATTTCTGCTTGATTTCCTCTATATCATTCTCTAACAACCTATCACTCTCAACCAATTCAAAAAATTCCTTTATTTGAAGAGGAATTAATGCCTATCTCAATGAACCCCTCAAACCTTTTAAAAATCTATAACATTTTTCCTCCTAAGTATTGATCAGTTGTGGAGCATAGCTTGATAACGCTAAAATTTTTGCTTCATATATTATAATATTCTTTGCTCTCTGCTTAAAGTTTATAAACCTTTCCTGCATTGCCTTCCTTGTCGATGGAGGAGCATACCATTCTTTGAAAATTTTCTCAAATTCTTCCTACATAATCTGTTCCTTTGATCTCCCTGTGAACTTCTTCAGTTGTTGTCCCCTCCACCACCTTTCTGCTTCACCTTCTAGCATAAATATTGTTAGGGATACATGTCTATTTTCAAGACATCTCATTCCATTTAAAACTTTCTATATCTTGATGATCCAGTCTTCAACACTTCTAGCATCCATTCCTCCCTTAAACAATGAAGGTTTTAAACTTTGAAATAACTTTAAATGCTTATCCACTTATGCTCCCACAGGGTCACTTGCCTCAACATTTGCAGTACTAACAAGAGTGATATGTGTGACTTATGTAATAATAGGTGGAACACCAGGTGTTGTAGATCCTACCATAGACTGCATCTTTTCCATCATCTACATCATCAAATTTATCATCTGGTGTTGCATCATATTCCCTGATATCATATTAATAGAATAAGGCATTACTAGTGCACTAACCTTCCACTACTATTTCATTTTCAGGATATTTAAAGATCCTAATAAGCTAAGATGACTGACCCTCTTCCCTTTAAGGTATTCTTTCAGCCATTATATCTGCAATGCACTACATCAATAATTATGCATTTATGTAATCATGTCCTTTTATTTAGATACTAATTTTCATATGCTTATATATAAGCTAGATTGAATTTAAACATGTTTACAAATAAATTAAATGAACTTAGACATATTACTAAAACTACACTTTCCTAGACTCTGTAATAAATCAATCAGATTCAATCTTATTCTATTAGATAATTCACTTTATTTATGCTTTCATAGTTAATCCCTCAGAACCTTAAACATTTGCTCTGATAACAATTTTATAACACCCCACAATACCTTTTAGCAGTATTGTAGAGTGAACATACATATCATAACATTTTTCATTTCTTTTTAAATTTAATACAATTTCTCACATTTGAATTTCATATAAAACATCCAACCATATTTCATTTGATATATCAATGGAAGCAACTAATAAATTAAAACATTAATAAACATACTTATAGAGCCACTAAGGAAATCCAAATAAAATCCATTTCTGAAATATTTTCATACCTCATAAGTAGACTCACCAACAAAGATAACTTTAACATAAAAAGAAGAATTAACTTGCATCTATTAATCTACAACAATCTTCTTCTTTTCTTTTCCTGTAACAATAACCAATAAGAGAATACCAATGAGGTGTGACTTAGTAAATTATGCCCAAGTGAATCACAATTATAATATAATATTATGAAGAATTACAACATTGAGCAAATTATTGAATTAACTTACTATCATTTGAAAAATATTATAAAGGCATATTGGACATCATCTTTTATTTCATTTAAAGTAGATACTAATTCATTTTAGTCTTTTAAAAAATTTGGCTATACTTTCATAATCATATTCAATGGAGCCTAAGTAGTTCGACATTATTGCTATTGAATAACATAAAGATCCATTTTGCATCTTTAGGGGTCCCTTTTACCCCACCTGCTATGTAAGTATTAAATTTTTTGGGGTCCCTTTTGCCCCATCTACATTATTATATTTAGGTCCATTTTGCCCACATGATATTCCAGATATAATAACATAAAATAGCCAATATTTACTAATTGAATGTTCATTAATTCTCATAATCCATAAATCATACTTTCACATTTACATGGTTATATAAGTGTAGCAAGAATAATTTAATATGAATTACCTAAATGATGGATCTTCTTTTTAACATATAAATAAAAAGATTGAAAGAAAAAAAAAAATACTTGTTCACATAAAATGGAATTTTTTATACATGAGAACTTCAATGTATCCTTATGGTGATGCATAAAACCATCATAATGCACCTGAACACATTTAAAAGATATTCCTTCAAAAGGCTTTGCAATATACTTAGAATTTATCTACTTGTATTTATAAACTAAATTACATAACTTAACTTCCACACGAGTTGGTTCTTCTAATCTTTCACTTCTTCCTCTTATTCGATTATAAGCAACCTCAAATCCTCTTTTCTGCATAAATTCAAGTAATTCCCAAATCCAAAGTAACAATTGATATAATTACAATGGAAGTCATTATTATCTTTAAAGAAATTTACCACTTAGTTAAAAATATACCAAAAATACTTACCTATCTTCCCTCTTATCTTTCCTTCACTTCACTGATTCCTCAAATAGTTTGTACTTACCTCCCACTACAAGTCATTACACCATTTCACATTAATCACAACCAATCCTTATTACAGTTTTACGATATTCAAATAACTTCTATTTCACTTACTATTACTGTTGCTTTCCTTTCCTAGAAAGTCGCATGTAATCTTTCCTTAATCACTATGCCGAATTGCTCTATGCACTGAGCCGAATGGATCTACAACCCTCAAGCAATCACCTTGCTGAAAATCTCCTATGTCAAATACTGCTACAGTGCTTCATACACTATGCCGAACTCTACTCCTCAATTCCCTGTGCCGCAGCCTTCTTCTGGCCGAACAAGGCAACAGCGCAAGAAGCACTGTGTCGACAATTTTCTTCAGGAAATTCTGCACCAATCCGATCTCTCTCTCTTTGGATTGCATGCGGAATTCTCTTCCAAAAAGGGGTCCATGGTTATGATGGAAAGTGGGCCTCATCCTTAAACCGCCTACTCCAATAGTCACTACAAAAATCATCCTTTCATAATTCTCAAATAGTTTGTACTTACCAAGGACCACTGTTTAACATTGCTTCTATAGCTTCAGATTCTTCAAAAGCACATAAAACCCAACCTCCTTCAAGCAGAGTCATATGAAATATGCCATACTGACTCCACTACCTCCTTAACTCCAGCCCGATCATATGATAAGTTGCATTGCCCAACACCTTAACAACCAAGGACTTCTGTAATTTAGAAGCGTTATCTGCCTCATTTTGCTGATGTAATTTTACCACTCTATTTTCCAGTAAATTTTCCCCAAAATCAAAGTCAATACTTTTAAAATTCAGCTTCACATTCCAGACATTAACCATAAATTTCTTCCTTTTAAGACAGAGTGTGCTGCAACCTTTTGGTTACGTTTCAGACATGACTATTTAATCTATACTAAGAATATTTTCTACCTCTCTATTTTCATCTTAGGAATGCCATTGATAGCCAATCTATATTTTGTTTCAAAATTAAGAAAGCTATCAATCTCAAAGTTATTGAATAGAGCAAATATCAGGAAATCGAAAGCTTAATTCAATGATACGTTGGAATTTGGTGGGTGAATTTGGACAACGATGAATGATTTTTTATTATCTTATTCATTTTAATTTACTTATTTTGCACCTTTTTGAATGATTCTTTGGAAAATAGGGGTATAAATTTACTTGATTGGTTGAAATTTTTTTATCGTGTTGGGTTTTTATTTTTTAATTATTTTTTATAGTTTATGAAATGAAAAGAAGTACATGCTGTACTCGACATAAAATCAGCGGCTATTTATCACTGTATCAATCGAAACTCCGATGAGACCAGCGCTTCGGTTCGCCCTCTTCTTTTCCGTCTCCACCACCAGCTTCTCTTTCACCCGTCTTCTTCCTCGAAATATTCACCTCTCCTCACCCCTTCGTTTCTCCTTACACCTCCACAGCTTCTCTAGCGGTTCACCGCCGCCAATGGGAAACACCACTCCATCTGATGCCGCTGCAACCGTAGTTGTAGCTGGTGGCTTAGATGGCGACGGCGGCGTTCAGGAACCATCCATTCCATTCTCTTATTCCATGGAGACACAGTTTGAGCACTTCCGCGCCCAGATGGAGGAGTCCGGCAACATTCGTGAGCGAATCCGATCAGTGGCGTCGGAGATAGAGGCCACCCTTCGGGTCATGCACGCAGGTCTCCTGCTGGTGCACCAGTCTCTCCCTGCCCCAGGTGCCAGGTTTGAGAATAAAGTTTGGGTTTTGTTAGGGTTTAGGGTTTTTGATTTGGGATTGTTTTGATCTGTGCAGAAGTATTAAAGAAGGCTAATGCTCAGATTGAGGTACTTAGGATTCTCTATGACCGGCTTGCTCAGATTCTTATTGAGTGTCCTGGGCAATATTACAGGTGAATTCGCGATTCTTCGCAGTTAGACAGTGTCATGCGCCATTTCTGCAAATTTGCTTTCGATATTTTAGTGCTTTTGTTGGTTAAGGTATCATTCTGATTGGAGGAGCGAGACACAGACAGCAGTTTCTTTGTTAGCTTTTTCATATTGGTTGGAGACGGGAAGTCTACTGACCCATGCGGAGGCTGAGAATGAGCTTGGATGTGAGTTATTCTCTTCTTGCACCTTCTCCGTCAATGTGCCTCCTGTATGTCTCCTTTATGTTTTTTTTTTTTTTCTTGTTAAGGTGCTTTACTTTTCCTTAGAATGACTACTGGCTTGCTGCTTGGATTCTTTTTCCTTTGCCCGTATACTTGACATTACTCCCCTTTGATTGTGACATTATTTCATGTCGTTTCCCCAAGCATTTTAACTCTATTTTGCATGCATTATTTGCATTTGTTGTCGCGTTGCAGATTTTTGCATATAGTAGCCTTTTGGCATTCCATCTGTTTTGTGGATACCATCGTTTTTTCTTATTATAATAAATATACTATGGTTGTTGTTCATCACATTGCAGTGCAGAAATGGTTAAATCAAAAGTGCCTATTTTCATTTTTCTGACTGCTAGGTACTCATTGCACTTTGTTATTGGTCAAACTTATCATTGTTCAGAGTTAGGCTTTTTAAAGAGGCCATTGTTTAATTTTGAGGCTATCAACCTAGACCTTGTGGGGGAGATCGTGATGATTAAGTTCTCTTTCTTGCTTTTACTTCTTCCTTATCTTTGAATTTGTTTGATTTCTTCATTTTTATTGAATTCAATCCTTCAGATGTTAGAGATTTGAAGAGAAGAAAGTTTGTAGCCATAGGAGTAGAGACTTCTCAATTTCTTCAAGAAATTCAGAGAGGATCTGAATTGGTGTTTTTTCATAGGAGAAAAAAAGAGGACCCTTGGGAATTGTGCATTTTTTTTATTTGAAGAGATAGAAAGGGGATCACATAGCTCATGTAAATCTTCATCGAATGATTTGCTAGAGTGCGACAAATGGCTAATAGAGGAGATTTAGTGGTGGAAAAACAAGGAAAATTTGAATATCTTTCCAACTATATATTGAGGTGGAGGAATTTGATTGTGAAGCAATAGCCTCAAGTTGAACATGATTCTTCTCAAGAACATTGGTTGCCCTATCATCCCTACCTTAATGGTTTTACCATTGGGAACTTTGAGAAATTGCTCATTAAAATTTTAAAACCTGAAGACAGTGTCCTGCAACTATTATTACAAAGGAGAAAAGTCCTTTTAGATTTCACAAGGCTTAGCCTTTTAGTGGAGCCCCTCCTAATATATATGTGCGTGAATGCAATCTTTGCTTCAATAGATAAGTGGAAGAAACCAACAATTACACTAGCACCTCTTTGAACTTGAGCCAATAAAGTGGCAGATCATAGGGGTTGTTTGGTTGCCTTAAAAAGGAATATAGGATACAAGGAATACTTTGGTGCTATTTGGATGAGTGAAAACGGAATGCAGAACTTTGCTTCAATAGATATGTGGAAGAAACCAACAAGTACACTAGCACCTCTTTGAACTTGAGCCAATAAAGTGGCAGATCATAGGGGTTGTTTGGTTGCCTTAAAAAGGAATATAGGATACAAGGAATACTTTGGTGCTATTTGGATGAGTGAAAAAGGATTGCAGAACTTTATTTTTTTTGGTTTGAAGCAAAGTGAGCTATTTAAATTGTACGAAGTTTGTGACTAGGGTGGCTGGAAGCTGGTGGTGGCACGAGGTGACGGTGGCGGGTAGTAGGTGGCGGTGGAGATGGTGGCCATCATGGGTGGTCAAAAAAGCACTTGAGTTGTGTAAAGCGTCCCCGCTCATAATTGGGTGAGAATGTTTTACTTAAAAAATAAACTAAAATGAAATACATTGCATTTACTTTACGTTGGATTTACTTTTCATCCAACCAAACACCAAAAAGTGAAAAAGTAATGCATTTACTTTACTTTGCATTCACTTTTCTTCCAACCAAACAACCCCATAGTCACATCTCAAAGTGTAGCTGATTAAGGGAATACCCATTCAAATGATATTATATTCATAAGATTTTTAATGACCTTATGAAGGGGGGAATACTTCAACTCCTTGTGGTCAAAAGGGCCAAATGGGGAAGATCAGCTCAACTATTGCTAGTATCACCAAATGTTGGGACACACCATTGAAGATTACCATATGTTTAGCATGTTGAGTTGAAGTACATCTCTGTTGAAGTACAATTGTATCATAGTTTCATTATCGTGCACGTTGTTTTAGAGTCTCATGCATCTACCACTGCTTGTTCATCTTCTTCCACTGATCTTGGGTTAGAATGGCAATTAAAACTTCCCCAAAAGACCAACACGATGATCAGGGTGAGGGCTCTAGAGGGTGTGAGGGAAGGCCCCAACAAGTCAAAAGGCAAAGGTGGGCAAATTGATGACTCTCCTTCCACCAGCCAAAGAATTCTACACTCTTCTACCATCTTAGTCTATAAAAGATGCCAATGTAATCAGAAGAATGGAAGTTATAAACATCAGGAGAAGTTCATTTCCCTTCCAGCACTCATAATGAGGGACATCTTGCTTAACTTGGAAATAAAGAAGACATATATGCATTATGTATTTTTTTGTAGTCTATTTCTTCTACTCGTGATGATATTTTTTATTATGGTTTGCATTCTCCAGAAGCTTTGGTTAAGAAAGAAGAATTAATTTATTCTGACTTGATTGTATTTTGGTTATGCTACACATCCCATAGTGATTCAAACAAGGTGGTTAGAGCTAGCCAAGTCAAATCTTCTAATGACCTAGACCATAGTCGTTTATAGTCAATTTCTTCTTTAGAATGTAAGGTCGATGAGATAAAAAAAGTGCAACTATGTGGTGGAAAAATGTTTACTTCAAATTGTCAATCCAACCAATTACAAGCATATTATTATTTAGGAAGATGATCTAGCCCCTCCATAAGCTCAACCTCCGAACGAAACCAATGATAAATTGCCCATATCTATTGGGGTTTACTACAATGTCCTAGGTCATTTGCGGAAGTTGTCTTCTCTCCTCAGTAATTATGATGCATTTATGATGCCACCTATGTTAAGGCATAATTTTGTTGAGGTGTTGAGTGAGGTAGAGGTTTATCAAACATATTTTGTATAAGAGACGATGAAAGAATCTTAGTAGATAGAAGTTCACTTATTCACTTTATTCAATTAGGATCTACTTTCAGGAACTCTATAGTACTATCCAATGTTTAAAATTGCGCAATTGGGTATTGAAGAATTTTTTGTTTGTGAGGCAAGGCATAAGCCTCAAAATTAAAAAAAAATTGTAAAGTTAAAATGAGTATTTTTTTGTTTAATAACAAAAAATTATATAAAAAGTGAATATAAAAATAAATTGTCATATATATGAAACATAAAAATGCACAAGATATAAAATGACAAGTAATAAACTATATGAAATTGAATTAAAATTCAAACACCACAATAATAAAATAACCTAAAATATAGTTCAACTCATAATTTTATCTTTCTCAATATCTTGTTCATTAACATTTAATTCAAAAAGGAATTAGTAATGCATAGGCTCATAGCAAATCAGAAGTCATTTGCACTGTCATCACTGAGAGGTTCTTTATTTGAATCATCATCATAGTGAACTGCTCTCTCTTGCCTCATCACCTGTGGAGTCTAATGCCTCCCAATATTCTTCTTCTTCTTTTATATCAGTTTTCTTTCTCTTTCCTAAACACTTTTCATCAATATAAAGATGAGTAATTCTTTATGATAAATAAGCTCTAACAATATTATTTTTCTATATGCCTTTTTTGGTTTTTTCTTTTTGTGCTTGGGTTGTGGTAGATGAGATGCTCTATTTTTATCACCATCAAAGAAATTAACATTCAAATTTTCCTCTCATAGTTCATCTAACATAACCTCTACTTCATCATGTATAGACCACTTATCATTTGATGTTATATCTTCACAAGTCAAAGGATCTTCATAATCCTTCAAACCTTTCTTTTTCAATTTTCTGTCTTTAAGTGTTTTATTTATATAATGTATACTAAGGAATTCATTCTTAAGGTTCTTAGATGATTTATCTTTTTTGTATGCACTTGGTTGTATGTGCTCCAATTGCGTTCACATTCTAATGAAGAGCACGTTAATCTCAAAACTTTCATAGTGAAATGCTGCAATTCTGGAGTGTCATCACTCATCACCAAATTGAATTCACCCTGCCTAGTTGCATGTTAGTATTTGATCTTTCAATTGAATCAGCTATGAGTCTATCCATGCAATGATACATACAATCCTAATTTTATCCAGGATTTGTAGACTTATTCTTTGCATATTGATATTGAGGGTTCAAATAATAGCCTGTTTCATGTAAATGTTGATAAAATTGTTGTTGCCATCTATCATCAATAATATTTCAAATTTCTTTGTAGCTTTCTTCTTCACCTCCAAAATTGTGGGAAATTATTTCTTTTGCTTCATCCATAGCATTGTATATGAATCCCATAGCAGGCTTCTTCTTGGCATTAACCATTCTAAGAACTTGCACAAATGACTGAGTGGTTTTGATTGCATTCATGACACTTTGCCAAAATTTATCATTTAGAATAATTTTCTATCCTCTTTCCCTTCAGATTTCTTTGCCAAAGTGCAGCACAACCACAATCACAATTCTTAGAGATAAACATAGACTCCAAAGGTTGCCCAACATCCAACTTTTGTAGTTGCCTCCAACGAAATGTGATTAGTTTTTTGTTTGCGTGAGTGATAATCAAACTTTTTTTACAAAGTTTTTGGAGTGGATATTTAATCAACAGTTCAAAAATATTTTGTAAGTTCATGATTGTTTTATTGTAATAGAAGGGATTGTTTGGGCTGACATTGAAGTGATTGTTCATTTGGAAAATTCAATAGAAGATACATAAGTAACTCTTCAATTTTGTGGTGAAACATTCAACATAAAAAGAAGTTTGATTGTCACTCAATAGAGTGCTCTTTAAAACAAAAATAGAACTGTGCTTTTAAAAAAATCTTATCAACTTTTTCAAAAGTTTTGTGATGAAACATTCAACAGAAAACATTGAAACTCTTTAAAATTTTTTATTTCTGCTTTCTATAAACTTTAAATTAAGTTAATAGTGATCTATTTTAAGTAAATTGGA